GGTGGTGACCATGGTGGCCATTTGGAAGTCGGCCATCTTGGATACAACTTTTGTTTTTTCAATAGGAAGAGGGCCATGTGACACATCAAACTTATTGGTAATGTCACAAGAAAAACAATGGTGTGCTTGGTTTCAACGTAACGTTATTCTTTCATGAGTTATTTACAAGTTTCTCTTTGTTCACAGCCATTGACATGTCGAACAGGTTAACACGTGAGGAGCGGATCGAAATTGTGTTGATATCTGGTGAACGCAGTAACCGGGTCATTGCAGCAGATTTCAATGCAAGACACCCTACGAGACCACCCATCTCCCATGCTACAGTTAGCAAACTGCTTGCTAAGTTTCGTGAAACTGGTTCAGTGTTGGATTTGCCAAAATGTGGACGCAAGAAAACTGTCACTAATGAAGAAACATCAGTGGCTGTCCTAGCTTCATTCAGCAAGAGCCCACAGCGTAGCACTCGCCGCATGTCACTGGAGAGTGGCATCAGTCGAACATCCCTTCAGCGGATATTAGCTACTCACAAATGGCACCCTTACAAACTCCAGCTACTGCCGCATCTCAGCGAGGCTGACCCAGATCGGCGCACAGAATTTGCAGAATGGGCAAAACAAAAATTGGAACAGGACCCTCAGTTCATGCAGAAGATTTTGTTCAGTGATGAGGCAAACTTTTATGTGAATGGTGAAGTTAACAAACAAAACCACCGCTATTGGTCTGACACTAACCCACATTGGATGGATCCCTCCAAAACTGTTAGAACAACAGAAGTGATGGTTTGGTGTGGTATATGGGGTACAACGATAGTGGGTCCATTCTTCATCAATGGAAACCTCAAGGCCACTGGATATTTGAAATTGCTACATGATGATGTGTTTCCCTCTTTGTGCACTGAAGCTGGCACGTTCCCTGAGTTTTTCCAGCAGGATGGTGCACCACCACATTATGGGTGCCAGGTCCGAGCATTCCTAGATGAACAGTTTCCTGGAAAGTGGACTGGTCGTCGTGGGCCAGTTGAATGGCCCCTAAGGTCTCCCGATCTGACCCCCTTAGACTTTTATCTTTGGGGTCATCTGAAGGCAATTGTCTACGGTGTGAAGATGTGCAGCACCTGAAACTACGGATACTGGATGCCTGTGCTGGCATTTCTCCTGCGGTGTTGCTATCAGTGTGTGCAGAGTGGGAGAAGAGGGTTGCATTGACAATCCAACACAATGGGCAGCACATTGAACACATTTTATAAGTGGTCAGAAACTTGTAAATAACTGATAAAAGAATAAAGTTTCCTCCTTGAGAGGACACAAACCTCCACTTTAAAGCCATGTTTGAAAACCATAGCGTGGAACTGAAACCGGAACATTTCAGTGCCATCATAGGTTTGTAATGCAATCTGCACGAAGTGTTCCACCTACCCAACACTGCCTTCAGCTGAGACCACAAGGGCCAGAATAGCAAAGATTGAGATGAAAGCCCTGTGGGAGGACACACAAGGCAATGATGTTTGCAAATGATTTACATAACAAAGAGGAAAAAGTCTCATGAGTATCAAAGAATCATTTGATGGGAAACAACTAAGAGAACTGTCTGTGTACAAGTTAAAAGAGTGATGAAGAAAGAAACAGCATTAATGATTTTGTAGCGAAAGGATGTTGTGTGGGTAAAATAACTCTACAGTTTCTCTAAATAATCAAAGGACTGCTGTTCTAAAATGAAAGACAATGATAACGACAGATTTTTTTTTTTTTTTTTTAAAGGTGCTAGACTGCAGAAATCGGAGTTGGCCTGCTGTGCTGCATCCCGGCGTGTTTGCACTGCGGAGGTGAAACAGGACACGTTTTCCTGCCTCAGTGCGACGCAAACAGGGAGAGAGCGAAGGAATCTGCTGCATCATCAGGCTGGGTCTTTTCTAAATCAATCCAAAGGCATTTCGAGGTCAAGGAAGAACCGGGATCGGCAGCTCATCGCATCCCGCTGTGATCACAACCTGTTCAGATCCTAATTTTATTCCAACTTTACAAAAAAGGCGTTAAAGAGGAAGGGCGTTTCACAGATACAGGTGATGTAGTAACCGGGCGGACTGTATCCAAATGAGCTCATCGGTGATCTTCATTGTTTATTATTATTATTAACACTGATGTATTAGAGCAGCTTGAAATGCATTTTCCTGCAGCCGATAAACGATGACGCAAACAAATCAACTTTACCTGTGCGCAACGCCGCAAAAACTCCTGCAAAATAACAGTCAACTACTATCACAAACATCACCATCACCGAACGGTTTCTTAAACTAGAAGATACTCGAGATGATACTTACATGGTCGCGACCCCGCGTGCTTCTATAAGTGTCCACCTGCCAGGGGAGCGCAGGGAGGCGCGGTGTGAGGAGACTGCAGTCTGATGCTGGATGCACTGCGGAGTGACTGCAGTGAGCACCGGCGTCTGCCTGCAGCTCGCAGAACGGAGGGGCGGAGCAGCCTCGAGACTGCCAACTGTATCCCGTTTCTGGGGTTTTTTCCGCTTCGAAATTTTCCATTAGTAATGAATCACTGCCTGCTGTGCAAGCAAGGGTTAAAGTAAGGATGGAGATCCCACATGTATACTGCTCTACAGCAAGGGTGACAAACTTAAGGCCCGGGGCCCAGAATCTTCCGGCAAAGACTCCAATCCGGCCCACTCGGCTTTTGGAAAATATATACACTGGCATGCTAGATTTTGTACTTTTAACTTTATTCACATTAGCTTTACAGCTTTGCCTACAGATGGACACATCCCCCATTGACAATGACAGGAAACAGTGCTTATAGTGTTTGTTTTTTTCAATTTACACTATATATTTTTAAACATTAGGCCAACAGTAACAAAAAAAATAAACAGGACATCTTTACACTGACAGAAAGGGCGTTTGACTGGTCCGGCCCACTGCTCTCAGAGTGTGCTGCTCCACATTAAATGACTGCCATTCTTGCTGTACAAAATGTTGCTGCTTAAAAAAAAAAAAAAATGTAATTGTGTGTGCATAGTAAGCTGAAGGTGATATAATTCCTTGGGTTGCTTCATTTATAAAATAGCGTACTAGTTTACATTTACATTATTAACTAGTTTGTTTTACATGGATGGGTTCATTTTTGCAACTTTGCCCAAGAAATCTGCTTAACTTAGGTAATTTCCCACTGCAGGAACTCTTCGAATGAACCTCAGGAGGAAGTCAGAGAGCAGGGTCTGGTGTTTAACCAGTGTTTAGTTCTATCTAATTTTGCTCTTAAGGGCAAAAATGTTACTAAGTTAACCCTTTAAGACCTACCATAGAACCAAGTTCGCCAGAGCTTATATTATATTTTTACATGCTGTGGAGCCATTTTTGGGAGCATTTCAAGTTGCTATACATCAATACATCCATTATAGCCCAAACTTTAATAATATGTCTGTATTAGGTGCATAGTAATTACATAAATTGCAAAAAAGTGCAATAAACTACAAAAAAATTGAAAATCGTTTTTGTTTTTTTAACATATATTTCTAGTTAGAGAAATTTAAGAGGCTTATCCCTCAAAACTGTAAATACAAAAAAGTTACACAAACTAGTTTCCCACCACAGGAAATTTATTTTGAGTGTCTTCATAGTTTTATTTTTGAAATACACCAATTTTTATATACTGCAGGAAAAACGAAAATAAATATTATAGTGCAAATTTGCAAAATAACAGCATATGCATCAAAATAAACTATTTCCAGCAGTGCAATATGAGTCTTAAGCATCCCAGAAATGACACAGAAAGTCATAAAGTCAAACATAACTTTTTAAAACACATAACAAGTAAAACACAAGCTCATAAGGCCCCGATCGTAAAAAACTACATTTCCGCAAAATGACGTCACTTCCGGTTTCGGGCAGGTCATGCGGTCATGTGATAGTTCGCGCTGATGGACGTAGGAAGTGTTACAAACAGCTGATGGATCGGCGAAGCTGTTTCTGGAATATCATGTTTTTGTTGCTGCAAGTGATTTTTATGCAGTTTTTGCAAAGCTATATGTGGAAGGAAACTGTGACCTAGGACAAGCTGATGGCATAAGATGTAAGTACAACTCCTCCAGTTTCATATGCAAAAAAAATTATTGCGCTAGCTTACTTGGTTGCAGAGCTACCGGGATTTAAAAATAGTTACGCAAAACAGAGCGTGCCCGCTCCGTTCGGCTGTAAAGGGTTAAGAAAAAGAAGGTATTCCTAACTTGCACTGATTTTTCGCCTTCATTGAGATCTAATGTGTTTTCAAAGAGTTCCCTTACATTTTCAAGCATTTAGGTGCATTTAGGCATGAAAGCATCGTCAAGATGACCTGCTGAAAGTCCAAAGCATTGAACTCTTTGGACCCCTTGGTGGCAACTGAGCATCAGTTAAACACCACAGCCTACCTGAGTACTGTTGCTGACCAGGTCAATACCTTTCTGACCAGATGGTATGCATCTTCTGATTGCTGTTTCCAGCAGGATAATACAAAATGTCACAAAGCTCAGATAATCTCAAACTTTTTTCTTGAACATGAAGTCACTGTACTTAAAGAACTACATGATGTGAAGCACGAGAGTACCATAAATCACCTTTAACGTTGAGGCAGATGTAATTTAAATAAACAGATGGGCAGGAAAGGTTTGGCGGCTGTCATGCAAAACCTGCTCAGTAGTTACTTTACATATCATGTAAATGAAGAAACAGCAGGTCAGACCCTCAACATGTTGTAAGCATCACAATCAGCTGACTCATGCAGAGTACTACTGTGTGTGTGCAGACAGCAGCTGAATGTGTGGGCCTCTGAAGGAGCTCCGTCAAGTCGGTGCCCCTTTACCAGGCACAGGAGGAGCCAAAGCTCGGGGCAAATGTGACTCCTTCTGCAGGTTCCCCACTTTTCTTCATGCTTGGAGCACAATTCTTTTCCCATCTTGATTATTTTAGTGCAAGCTATGCAGTTTAAAACCCCAAAAATGACATATACATAACAGTGTAATCGGAGAACTTTGCAGAACTTTATTGTGACAGCTGATACAGACACCAAACAGCTCTCTGTAACAATTAAAAAAATGTTTTCACTGAAACTAAAGTGAACTTCACCCACTGCTAAATCCTTCCCTCCAAGGTACTGGGGTCATCCCTGCACCGAGTGATTGGAGTAAAATCTCAGTAGTCTTTCCTCATCGCCACACCTGTTTGTCTATCCAAAAAGAGGAAAAAAAATCTGATTGAACCCGAACTGTCTAAAGCGCTCCACAAAGCCTCTCTGCACTGCTCAGCAAAGTGTTAAGTGCCTCCTTTTGTGTCAGCAGTCTTATTTACAAATGGCCATCCACCCAGTTTGGCTGCACACACATTGCTGATCTTTTCAAAACCTAATATCAAACCAATAATTCATAAAATAAGCTTCACATCAAGAGCAGAAAGGTAAAACCAAAAGCAGGCAAATTCAAAAATGATCAGTTAGGTCACTTCTCTGCCCAGTTGGCACAGCAATGCCAAACGAGAGATGGGGGGGGAGGGGTTGTAAAGAACAAGGCCGTCATTGAAAACGCAGAGGGCAAACTTCTCTGCTTATTTTAGAGAAAAAAAAACTGTTCATCTGCCTACATCTTCACATGTCACCATATTGGTTGTATTCACAGAGGTGTACTGGAGTTGTCCTGAAACCACTAAAGCACTAAATTACAGCAGCAGTCCGAGTGACGGGCTGGGAGGAACGCTTAAGTCTCCAACATCAACAATAATACTGAAATATAACATTTCAATATGTAATAAGTCAATCTATATTGAAATATACAACTTCTTGTTAACCATATATTTCAATATACAAATCATACATGTAAGAGGAAAAAAAAATACCTACGGTACTGTGTGGTGATAAAGTGGGATTTTTATGACCCGTGAACAATGGGAATGAAACACGAGACGGATGCTTAAATTTGAAATATACTGATTAGCCTTTCACCTGAGTATGGGCTATTGTCACTGGGGTGGGGAGGCGGGGGTAGCCAAATCCTGTGTCGTCTCACTTTCACTCACACACTAAACACACTCTGCACAGGAATAGTTACAGCTAAGAGGCTCGCAGAAGTACCGTTTTAAATAGCTGCTATAAACACACTCAAAAGAAAGTGTCTAAAAAATTATCTTTGGAGGGGGAGAGAGAAATGAAACATACAGAACATCAGAGCTCCTTTTCATATCTCCACCCGTCCATGTGGTTGTATCTCAGTACCTCTCAGTTTTTAGGTGGAGCATTTAAGGGAAACAGAGAGCGTCCAATAAGTTAGTCCGTTTCTTTTCTTTTTTTTTTTGCATAGCCAGACAGTGGGCACAACCACTGCAACCACAGAAAGAGTTTCAATGGGAGAGCTGTCACTGGAAGTGGGGAGCCTTGGTCCGTGTGTGTGTGTACCCCTTTCTGTCAGCTGGCCTCGGGATGTTTAGTTGGCCGCTCCCAAAGATGCAGCTTCCTGCTCACAAGGTGGACTCTTTCTGGCGATCGCGTCCGTTGGACGTCTTCTTGACTTTGGAAATGCCCTCGAGTGCACCTGACTCAGTCACTCTGGACACAAACAGAAGAGCAGCAGCACTTTTAATGGCAAACACTTTCTCAACCTTCATCTTAGTTCAGTCGGAATTATTAAATCTTATGGAAATCACAGAAAAACAAACGCTTAGCCACACATTACCCACACGAGCCTCCTCCTTATGTGATGGAACTAAATAGACAGTCAGCACCACTAGAATAGTTTCAGCTCTTTCAGCACCATCACTCATAAAGTAATGTTTTCTTCAATATTCATTTATGATCACACCGCACACATGCTATGCGATATCAGTGTTTTCACTTTGTGTTAATGAGGACAAAAAACCAAATCTCAATAAAAGACTCATACGGAGATTTGGCTACTTCAACCATACTTTGAAGACATGCTACTTTCTATAACTTCTCCAAGTATAAATTAATCAGGTAAGAACTCAGTAACAGGATAAGTTATTTAAATGCCAGGTGTGGGCTCATACAGACGTGTCACGCTTACACTTCATCATTCTCGACGTCGTCCTCGTCCTGGGGAAGCTGGAGATAGGGGTTATTGGATGCTGGGCGAAACTTGTAGCCCGTCAACACAAAGAAGATGAGAGTCGACACCTCCACCAGAAACTGAAGAAGAAACAGTGCGTTTAATAACAGACAGGAGAAAGTGTCTTAACACTGTCCACAACATCCGGAAAATTTCTTTGCAAACAAATAAGTAGCACAGGGCCTTTTTAACATATGCGCTGTTTCACATTCTTCAAGCAACGCTAATATCCCATCAGGCCTCAGAGGGGAATACAGTGCTCTTTAATAAAGGGCTTTAAATAAGTAATGTGCTGGCAGATTTATACCAGCTCACATCAGGCAAGTATTGCCAGTCATTGTTGATTCAGAGAGCACAGACCGTCCTCGACTTTTTTCAAACAACTGCTGTAGCTGCACCGTCATCGTCTTACCTCATAGCACCACTGCCACTGGAAAGGCATAGTGAATTTGAGCAGAATGGCTATGATCCTTGTAAAGTAGATGTAACACACGATCTAAAATGACAGAAAACATTTCAGTAAGAACTCTTTAAATTTGCACGGTTAAACAAAAAAAAAAAATATCGATCACACTAAAATCTTCCTTTTCCTCAGGATTAATTTTGCTTTGCTAAAAAACATTGTCAGAGGCAAGTTTTCAGTGTAACTGGTAAATCTATTACTGGTCCGATTGTTCAGATGAATGGAGGGTCACAGAACAACAGCAAAATACTGGCCTTCTTACCATCACATAATAATGGCGGAAGAGCTTGAGCTTCTCCAAATTCATGGCAGCTGAAAGAAACATGCACCAAGTTAAACACAGAACAAAACCTCTCCACCTATTAAAGCCCTGTAGTTGCAGCAGGACTCACCTTTGCCATCGGTGCTAGAAGCCTCTTGTAGGTGACGGATTGACCTTTAAAGACAGACGTGTTATACAATGAATCTGCTATTTGGGGCAAACTTGCATGCATACACCACGTAACACAAAGTTCATTTCGAATTACAAGAAACTACTTATCTCTTGTTTCATAACTTCAAACTGAAAATTTTCATGACTGTTTCATCAAGTAGGCAGGGCTGGACGGCAATGCTTTTGGTCCCCTCTCATTTTTTTCATGAAGTTGAATTATTCTGGGCGTTCTACTCTATCAAACATGCTCCACTTTCCCATACTGATCCTCTTATCCCAGAAATCTTAGTAACTTTAAACACTAGCCCCCAAAACTAATTTGGGACTAAAATGTAATTCAATAACAGATATCACACTGACCACACAACAGGGAAAAGGATGGCTCCACAGCAGATAAGGTCCACCAGAAAGAGGATCTCCTTCCACACGTAGTACTCGCTGGAGCCCTCCTCTGTAGACTCGATGATGATGTATGCGACGTTAGCCAGGACCTGCAGCACGACCGGCGAGCCATCAAAGCAAATACACATAAAAATCACCCAAACACCATTTGATTTGCTGCTCACCTGCAGAGGAATGACGATCATGAAGATCTTCTTCTCCTTGTCGGACAGGATGTATTTCACGAAAGCCCAGCCGGTACCAATCAGCGCCAGTGTGATGAACAGGAGCGCCCCCTTTAGCCTGGGAAGGATACAAACATTTTTTGTATGTAATACAAATCAAATACAACCTAGGCTAAGACACCGATTCTGCTGAGGTTCTGCTTACAGGTGTGTTATATAATACATGATGGCCCAGCCCTCAATAGGATGCCCCTTAGTGTTGATGAAGTAATAGTTGATCTGAGAGAGACGGGGACAGAGGCAGAATTCAGTGAGTCTCTTTTTATGAGAGGATTCAAACTCAAGACTGTGCTGTGGTGGTGATGCACTTACACTGTGGAAAACCAGTGACATGGACTTTGTGAAGGCTAGCGCTGCCATCAGCCAGTGGATCTTGAACACACTGTAACTGCAAACAAGCACAGAAGAGAGATGTTTAAACACTGCAGGAAATGCTTTTATTCCTACTGCTTAAGGTTCATCCAAATAATTAGTTATGATGTAAATTTTAGTCAAGCAATTGAAAATGTTGGGCAAATGCTTTGGGGCAGGATACTGTATGACCTCTGCAGCTCAGTTTTGTTAGTCTGTCTTTTTTTTTGGGAATGCAAACCTGTTAGCTAAGCTCGAGCCATGTCAGCACAGAAAGCGTTTCAGCCATCTTTAATAAATCCAGCAGTTCATGGGGTCGCATGTTTTTATTCTGTAACTCAATTTTCCTTCTTTCTTCCTTATATTCTGGGCTATGAGCACTTCCAGAGCAACAGTAAGCCACAGCAGAACACTCTGCCAGAGCTATAGCTGCCAAGTTGGCTAAAGGACAACACGTTTTAGTAAATCACTCACTGTAAACCTGCTTTATGTTCCTTTAGTGGGAAGGCTGCAGCATCTATGGGCATGTCTGTAGAGTCCTGCGGGGCACTAGTGGGATCTAGAGGAAGGCCAGTGGTAGCTAGTGCTCTTTCACTGTCATGATTGGAGCAAATACTTCAGATATCTTCTTAAAAAATGTATTTGGGCTGCGTTGTCAAGTATGATGTGTCAAAGAAGCCAAAGTCTTTTTTTTTTTAAACTTTATAAACTAAAAGTTCCTTGTAGTGAGTGTGAAGTACTTGAAGTTACTCAACACCCACTGTAAAACAGTGACTGTGCCACAGTCTTCCACTGAGGTGTGAACAGGATCCTATGCTTAATGATCTAATTAGTGTCAATTAGCAAATATTGTCATGCTTCATGTTAGAGTGATTATAACAATAAACACTACAAACTGTGTTCACTTTAGTATGGGGTCATATGAGCCAGTGGCCCTAACCGTATTCTTCCATCATACACTTTGTAGCAAGAGCTTCCCAGATTATGCAAGTGATTTTTTTTTTTTTAATTTCCAATCCTGCAAAACAGTGTGGTTCACTATTACTTCATTGTGCCCGTGTACCTGTGCTTCATGAGATTGTACACCCAGACCAGAGCAGCAATGAAGAAAACTCCAGCCATATAAAGATAAAGGCGAGGCAGAGGGATTTCCGCTGCAGAGAGGAAGCCATGGGGATTCTTCTCCCTCACTTCAACCTGTGATGCACGCAACATGGTAAGCAGACACACGCACGTGAGTGTGCATTTTATAAACTCAAAAATACTCAACTCACTGCAAACGAGTAGGGCTCGTTAAATCCCGGCTCGCTGTTTCGACAGTAGTGGAACTTCAAGCTGTACAGGCCCTCCGCCTCTGAGCCAAACCGTATGCGGAACTGTTGAGAGAAAGAGAAAACACTTCCTGTCAGAGACAATCCTGCCCTTAAACATGCCTGAGCATACTGGATAAGGAGGATTTTCTTACACTGAAGCTGTAGATGCTGCCGTTTTTTTCCAAATCTAAAGTCACATGGTGGCGACTGCTGAGCTAAAATGAAATACAGCGTAGAAATTAATTTTGGGATTAAAATCAAACTAAAAATAGACCAAAATAACAAAAAACAAGAAAAACATACATTGAATGTCCCTGTCACGTTAACAGCTTCAGGGTTCTGCACAGCCTGCTCTGGTTTCTTGTCATCGCTCCGTTTGTCTTGGTGCTCCGCTGACTTATCCTGATTTTTTGATTGTTGTTCTGAATCACGTTTGACTTTCTCCTGATCTACAGAGCACAAGTGCAGATGCCAGGCACAAAGGTAGAAATTTAGTTTATTCCGAGCATTCTATACACAGGTGGATGCTTTCATATCAAGAAAACAAAAACAAAGGCAAAGTCGAATGAAAACAAAGGACAGTATAATAGCAATGCCTCTTTCCACTAGTACCTACTTGACTCGGCTTAGGCTTGTAGTACCAGGTACTTTTTTTAGTGCCTACTCAGCCGGAGTTCCACACAAATCAGAGGTGATCCAAAAATGATGTTAACAGACTGCATAACACCGATTGGTTAGTCAGTGATGTCAGTGTTTGAGTCGTGAGAGCGTCTTGTTCACAAAAATCAACACTGTGGTTTCAGACTGTGACAAAAAGCCACACGCTGAATAGTAGCTATACAAATCGCTTCGACGCCCGCCATTGTTGTGCCGTTTGTTCCACATATAAATGACATAACAGCACTTTCAGCCACGTTGTTATGAAGATCCCACGCACATTGGTTGACACTCGACTGTGATGGCAAATGATAAAAACAGAGTCGAGTCGAGCAGAGTAAGTACTAGTGGGAAAGAGCTACAAGTGCATTTGATGAAAATCCTTACACTGTGTAAAATATATCAGAGACTATGAAATTACCTTACATTTGACATATTATGTAAATACCATAAACAAACACTTCTTAAGACCTGCTCCTTTATCACAAAAACAGAAGAACCTTGATGAATACATCTGAGTTACTCTTCTCTTTATCAAAAAATAAATAAAGACAAGCCTTTAATAGAACACTTTAAATAGAACTGTTTTTGGGGTGGGATAGAAATTTAAAGTGTACTTTGTTTAAATGATGCCACTGAAGGAAGCAAAATCCAAATTTTGGTATTTGTGTGGCCAACACTAACCTTTATCTGCTTCAACCTTTTCCTTCGCAATCAGTATGTTGTCTTGTTTATTCACAGCATCCACACTGACGCTACACAAACACAAATTATACAGTTAGCCTCCACACACTGAGCTGCCGACGGCACTGTAACAAACATTTTTGAATATTAGTGCTGAAACATCCACACCTTTGGTTCTTGATATTAATGAGAAAACGAATGAGAGGCTCGGCATTGGTCGCATTTTGAGTGAGCAGACATTTCTTCAAATCCTCTGCCTAGAGGGGGAAACGTCACACAAACACTCACTCAACACCTGTATTCATAATAACAAAACTTTCATAAGTGCATTTCAACAAAAGGCCGTCCTTGTCCTACATGATTGCACAACTAATTTTGAAAGGTCTGAAAATAATGATGTACAATGCTGACAGAAATATTTATGGTGATGTACTTACTGTGTAGGACAAGACTCCATTAACACGCGATCTGGACAGGCTGAACCCAACCTTAAGAAAGTGGGATTACGTTAATCAGTAGGGTTAAAAGCAGCTGATTCAAATCTCTATTTATTTTATAACACATATTTTATCACACTAACTCAATCTGCAAGTTTTTACTGTCAAATCAGCTCTTAAAACATGACACTTGACACCATCGCAAACACAAGACCAAAGGTTGATGAGCTCACTGCTGCTGCTTCATGACTTTTGTGTCAGGTTAGCCCGACTCACTGTTGTTTCGAGCACTCCACTACATTACTTCAGCGGTCACACTGCTTACAGTGCACTCGAATGTTTAACAACAACTGTCTAGGAAGAGAGGCTTATTAAAGGCAATGTTCATGCATACTTTCATTGTATGTTTTTTCCCCTATATTTAAAAAAAAAACAACCCCCAAAACAAACAAAACAACAAAAACAACAAAAAATGTCAGCGACGTAGTAGCTCATCTGACCCATGAATAGTCACAATTAACAGGCTGTTCCCCACAAAACAGCACATTTTGTTGAGACCTTGCAGCTGAGTAATTCAGGTGAAGACCCATTAGATGATCGTTGCGTGATGGTTTGATTAAATCCTGATTAATACTGTAGGAGAAGTGGCCGTTCTAATGAAATGTGAATAACTGGATGGATTTCATTTATGTTTTAGCTCATTAGTCCTTCAGTCTGATGAATCATTGGGGAAAAATAAATAAATAAAATTTGAAAAAAGGTCAGATTGAATCCTTTTGTTTTAAATGAACTATTAGCCTGATAAATGGTTCTGAGACCAATTTTGTTGTCTGTTTATTTTGTTTCTATTCATTATTTTTGCTTCTGTACCAAGATAAATAGAAATCTTTGCTAAAAAGATGTTCTGGGCTGTGAGGTCAGTCTCCTGATAATGAATATGCAAATTCTCATAACCACTGATCTTTGGCCTTCATGAGTGGTGCTAGTTTCAGTCATTGTGCAAATGTACTGTTTATAAAGTTGGGGAAACCTGGAGTCAGCTGACACTGAAGAAGTCACTTGGATGAGTGACGAAACAGTTTTCTCAGTGAAAACGCTACATCCAGATGAACAGAATTAATCTTTTAGGTAAACCTAACAAACACTTTACACACTGTATAAAATATACAAAAATAGAAGAAAATATTGCCACATTACATAGAGAATCCACAAAATAACAACACAAATATGTTAGCTGGGCCAAAAATACTTCATTAACTCTGTCTGCAGCCTAATCGAGTCAAGATATTAATTCTTTAACAAGCAGTTAACAAACATATAGTTACATTTTTTCCCTTCAAAACCTCAGTGTTAAATTTTTTTTAATTAATTAAACCTGTTGATGATTATAATTTGCTGTCCATTTACACAAAATGGACAGCGACTGTGGGTTTGATTATGGATCTGCTACGGTGAACCTGTTTATTAAAACCCAAGAGGCTGTACAATTATTAACAAAAACTGAAAAATTCCACAGATAAAGTAACGCAAACTCAGAGCCTTCATTTCCAATCACGCATTAATTTTGAGTCTCTGTCCAAAAGGCATATTTTGAGTGAAATTCTTAGTAACAAAGATGAAGAAAATGTTCTTTTCATTCAACTTTTGTTTTAGTTTGACCACATATGATAAGTTTCATGGGTCTTTACAGGACTGCTAGTTGTTTTTATTTTTATTTTTCATATTCAAAGTCAAACAACTGTTGATGCACCTGTCCCGAATTACAGATGTGGATTTACATTTATGGAGAGGCTGGAGAACATTTTGACATAGTTGTATTCAAATGTGGCCTCAGATTTAAAGGTTTTATGCAAACAAATGATAAATAGAAATGGAATTGCACATCTGTAATAGATGTGCCATTTCATATTAATATATAAAACCGTACATCTAACGGTACTGCCTGGTACAACATTACCTCTAGCTTGAATTTGTTCCTGCTTTTTTTTATTATTATTATTATTATTATTATTATTATTATCATCTTTCTTTTTGTAATTCAATTCTATCGTTTTGAAGAACACAATGCCACCTGTTGAAAAGAAAGGTCAATGAACCACCGCATATAACCAAACACACACACCGGACTTACTGGGTACTTGCTGAAGTCCACTGAAGTCTCCGGGACTTGCAGTGAATGCAGGTAGACATCCAGAGTTCCGTTAGCGTAGAAGCCAAAGTCGTTGAGGTCGATGGTGTGGCGAATTTCATTCTGGTTGTAAGAACAAACAAGTAGAGCTCAGCTGTTGTGGTTCAGTCAGTAAACATGTCTCCTAAGACTCAGATTTAAGAAGCTTTGGTAGCTTTTCTCGTGCGCCCATAACAAAACCCAACGCGACATTATGTTTGGACTGTCCTCTGCCATTAGAATTAATTACAACATACGAATTGAGTAGTAAGACGCTCGACGGGAGCAGAGGAAAACAACACGCCATTAGCTCCCGAGCTAGCGCTGTCATAATTTGTTGCCTTACCGTCAATGTAAGCTTGTGTATTCTTGCTTCGCACCCAGGCAGAAGTAATATGAATAAAAATCCAGCCACAAAGCAGACTCTGTGCCCCACCGCCATCGCTGACTCGCTAGCGGTAACTAGCTGCTAATACTAGGGAGCGTCAATCCTTCCAGGTGGCTAAATAACAAGCTAGATAGCAGACTTGAATGTAAACCAGGTCAAATGCGAGAGTTAGAATCTTTCAGCTTAGCTTTCCGGCTCTTAAACGGCGTCGTTTACTATCAAACTACAACCATGTATCTTGTTTTCGAATTCCTTTCTGCTGTCATCGCTTAAGGTAACAGCTAGCTTGTAGGCGTCACGATCTGACTTCCTGGTCTGGTGTCAAGAACAAAACGTTGATTAAGGTGCGGACAAGAGCGTCAGCTGCTGCGGGCTCACAGCCGAGATATAGACAACACTCTGCGCAAGCAACCGGAGCAATGTAGGCTTTAAAACTGCCCACCCGTACAACCCGCTTTTCTGTACTAATTTTGTGTCAGAAAACGATAAATGTTGTTCAAGGATCTGACTACACCTTATATGAGTTGTCCTAGATTTTGATCACGTGGTTCAGCCCTGCCACTAAGCTTCCGGCTAAAATGAGTTCACGTGATTAGAATGACCCTCCACGTCGGATACAGTCTCTCTGTTGTTACGTTGCGGAGATGAACTTTTGACACGTGGAGCTTTTATTGTTTCAGACATTCAAACTACGAGTTTACGTTTTGTTGTCTCACTCAACAAATGTTCTATATTCTCTGTACACGTTATTTGTATTGTCCACAAATCGCGATTATTGTTCAAACAAGATCATTTTTATAGCCCCTCTGATGACATGGTCCAAAAAATAAATAAATTGTGGCCACAAAATACTACTTCGTGCCGTCGAAATAGTATAACGTGCCCACGAAATACTTATTTGTGGCCACGAGAAAAAAAGTCACTAAGGGGGATTTTCTGGGACTTCCAGTCATGAGAAGCTTTGCAGCTGTCTTGAATATTTTTTTCACCTGGGAATAAACTTTCTCACTGTAATATGATGAGTTTCAAATTATTTGGAAATAACTAATAACCCTTTAAAGATTGATGGATAGAGGCTGCTAAGATGTCCAGATGTATTTTTAATATATCCTGATATTTAAAATTGTGAAAATGAATGCGGGTGTAATTTCTTTTTCACACAACAGTAAATCTACAACAACTGACTAAACAACTGATGTATTATCACCATTATAGCTGAACTTGTATGTGACTCCTGCTTTTAGTTGTTGCTGTTGTTTGGCTGGAGTCTACACCCCTGGTGGGGGGACTCCAGGCCTTGAGAGCCGGTGTGCTGCAGGTTTTAGATGTGTCCTTGATCCAAACAGCTGATTTAAATGGCTAATATGGCCTCAATATATCTTGAAGTTCTCCAGAGGCCTGGTAATGAACTAATCATTTGATTCAGATGTGTTAACCCAGAGTGATATCTAAAACCTGCAGGACACTGGGCCTTGAGTTCCCCACCCCTGGTCTACACCAACTCCTGAGGTACACATCTGGCTCTTTAGGAGCTCGGTGCTCATTGGCTCTTTGCTATTCGTGTCATTCTGGTGCTTGGGCCTGAGCAGGTATAATGGTTCAGTAATATAGATAACTGATTGCATATTATTCAATTCTTTTTACATTGTAATTTGATTATCTTTTAAAATAATTTGACCAACTTTAATTAAAAAAAATAAATACATTTTTTTACAGCCATTTACACCAGTTTTTCTTGATCTACTGTTTATGTCTTGTCCAAGTGCTGCTCTGCACACAGCAACATGTGCACACACACACCAGCCAGCAGTCTATGGTGAGAGGTTTGCTGCAGTCAGACAGCTTGATGAAGTGTGTGGAGGCCAAAGAGAAAGAAAACCATTTCCTGGATGGTGATATGTGAACAGGAGAGATCAGCAAATTTATAGAGATGCTCGATAGAGACTTGATTATTATCACAGTCTTAATTCCTCTTTTTTTTAAATTTTTTATTCCTATTTATTCTATTTATCCCCTTCGTATATTTTATTTATATTGTCTCTGTATTTATATATATGTGTGTGTAATATTCTGTAACTCTGTAACTTCTGTCGGTGCTGTGCTTTTTTGGAAATCGAATTTCCCAGAGGAACCCACCCGAGGGATTAATAAAGTTCTATCTATCTAGAAGTAAGGGTAATATTTGATATTCCTATTTCTGTAACAATCACACTTATGAAAATACACAAATTTACGATAAAGCACATGTGCTGACCACAGAGTGAAACTTCCCACAAGAATGATGCATGGAATTTTCTATTGATTCTATTGATGTCAGATTAGGGATTGTGGTCAACAGATTTAGTTTCAATTCAAGTACCTAATCGTAGCCTCAGTGATTATATAGGACAAACATGTCTTAGTCAGCTGAGAGTAATTAAAAACATTACATTTACACTGTAACCCATGGCAACCAAGGTTTGAGGTGAGGAGGAAGAGGATGATATTTTATTATGACGCCGGTGGTGTCGTCGCTTTTTATTTCCTTGGGGAACTTCTCGTCTTACAATAAAACAAAGGTATGATCCTTCATATCTTGAGTCCAATGGCACAGACATGAATTTAAATGGCACAACTTCTCTTCTTCTCCACCTTTGGGGTGCAACATATGTATCCGGTCTTCAGCTACAGATGAAATCCGACTAGTCAGAAGGAAGATGTCCGTCTCGGCCACCATATACAAAGGAAACATGCCGGCTTCCACAAACCGGCGCACAAACTTATGTATTTTTAATAGATTGATTGTAAGTTCATGTGAGTGCATCAGTTTGTTGGAAGATGTAACCACTATGTATGTTTATGAGTACAATATCAAGAAGTGGATGACACAGAAACATCAAAAACACAGCTTCACCTGCTGACCTCAGATGAAAGTACGAGTAACTCCTGACACGTTTACATACACAGCTTAACAGGCCTGATTTAATCTGAACATTTCAGAGTTTGTTGAAACAGCAAAGCACAGGTGGACATTTGTACGTGTTACAACAGATAAATCACAGGAATAAAGATTAAAATGAATAGTGGCTCAATATCATTCAGGCTTTATTTTCAGGGTTCTGGGATATAACTCATGCTGTTTCATGATAAAGGAGGATAAAGAACCCTAAATGACCCTGTGTGTTTGTTATACAGTCGACTCCCGGTAGTCGTGGTGATTTGGGACCACAACTGCCGCAAATACTTGAGAACCCCTCTAAAAACGCTTATAACTGCCTATTTTAATAGTTCAAACACCAAATATATCTTAATCTAAAACACTTTATATGATTTCAAAGTCATCTTACAATATTGCCCTTAAAATATTTGGCTTACAGCTACGCGTGAACACTTCTACAACTGTAAGAGTGTTCACGAATACCTGACAGGGGTCGACTGTATTACCATCGGTAATTAGTTGTTACTGTTGCCTGAACAATTATGTCAAGCAATATGTCTGCTGTAAAAGTAGCCTGTTGGTAGCAAAAAAAACATGAATATGCCCGTACGTGTAAGTGTCTCTCTTTGTTACTCCCTCCCGGGATTTACTTTTTTAAAATCAGACTTTAATGACTGCAAATTGTAAACAGAGTACATTCGTGGTTCTGGAGTATATTCTTTACATGGCATCATATGTAGCTGTAACAATTACTGGCATCATTAGAAGACCTTAGATATGCCGGGCATTTCTGTGTTGAAAGGAACATGTGATTGCACCGTGTAAGCTACATGAAAACATCCAGCAGATGGACTGCGTGAGAAGATCCCCATCTATCACAGGGCTGACACAGCTCATAACTCGGCCTTATTCAGAATCACCAGTTAACATTAATTTCATTTCATGTAAAGGAAAGAAATAATTACAAACTATATTGTGCCCTCCGCTTTAATCTCCATTGAGATTATTTTTGGTAGAAGTTTATATTCATAGGTGCGGTGCTGCTACCGGTGACCGTGGGGGCAAAAACCACTCCTCCCTGCTGAGCCGACATCGTGGCTCCAGCGGTAGGATTTAAAGTAGAGGATCCAGAGGATGCAGCTGCTCTGCCCTCTACAGCTGAAAGGACAAAGAAGCAGAGAATCAGTGGTAATGTCTGCACAGAGGCAGACCACAAACAGATTGTCAGTTACAGGTGAGTTTAAGAAACTCTGCATTCACCGCACCTTCAAACTTGCCCTCTAAGTCGTCTGCGATGTTGTTGACATTCATTTTCCTCAGGATCGCGACAGAGACTTTCACAGCCGTCGCTTCACCGTAGCTGTCTATCATACAACTCACAGTGTCCATACGGTCTTGGCCCTCGAGTTTGCTCTTTGGAATTGGTTTGCAGCTGTCCACGATCTTCATGGCGAGGTACCACTTAAAATGTTTATACTCATCATTAGTCAGGTCTTGCAGTTTTTCTAAGAGCAGCTCTGGGACCAGCATGTCTGCTCACTGAACAAACGAGAGAGAGAGAAAATGAGCTCTGTTTCTTTTAAATAAATACTTTCATTCCTTTATGGGCTTAGTTGATCAGAAAATTCATGTCTGTAACTATCTGTCTATTTTAAAGTATATTACACCACATTCAGTTTGTTCAAGATGATCTATAAAACAACAATAAGGCATTTAAGTGTCACTGCCCCCATTATCATAAAAATAATAGGAATACTTAAAAGTGTTGTGCAGTTAACTCCTCGGTTAATGGTTGCTTAGCTTAGAATATTGAACTTTTAAATATTATAAAGAAAAAACATGTGAGTGTAACTTTTCTGGTGTAAATCTTCTGTATTTTTAAGGTTCTGTGAACACAACAGAGACTACTACAATAAGTCCACCAAGAAAATCCTTTGCAAATCTGATGTGTGCATGGAATAAAACATTTATTTATTATGTTGTTGTTTTTAAATATGGTTTTTACTTTCTGCTTTTATTCAAAGGATGTTTTGAAAAAGTCTACGAGGAACCAAAGTTGTACTCAACAGTGTGATCACATTTTTATATGTATGCTATATGCTAGCCCCAAACCCTCTGGCTCTCTTCCAGTGTCTCCTCGGTCCTCTCTTCCTCCCGCCAACCAGTTGCATCAGGTGACTTCCCCTCCCTGAACATGGGCTCAAATGAATTTAAATAAACCTGAAGGACTAGTTTAAAACACTGAAGCTAGTCGTGCAGTAGTTTCATTTTTCGTCGCTGTGTTTAGTGGGATCGCAGACAACGAGGAAGTAAATCAGCGTCACCACGTCAGTGAATTAATAGCAGTGCTAATACAACTTCTAAAACCTGCTAATGAACCACATCTGGATCTGGATCATACATCGGTCACTATATGCTCTCAATGTCTGCGTTCGTTCACATCCGATGTAAAGCTGCACACAGAGCGAAAGTAAACAACAAGAAAGTCAAGTTCAAGTCTCCGTCATCCTTTCTAGCTCCTCCTGTTTCATTTTGTATCGCAGCGCACAGACGTTATTAAACCTCCAAAGATGTGCATTTTAACTTTGGGGAATTTTATGAATCAAAGAACTCACCTCGTCACTGACCCGCCGAT